TGATATAAAAGTTTATGCAGGAAGTTCCAACCATCTTCAATCCCTACTAAAAATTGTAAAATTGTAAACTATTTTCTAAAGATCAAGAATGGTCTTAGACAAATGTAAAACTCAAATAATATCTAAAGGTAGACACTAGGTACTGGGGTTTGCGTTACAAGGCGGCAATATAATCGAAGCTATGAACGACATGGACATGTAAAAATACCTAAGGGCACTTCAATCCACTCGCACTGAACACAAAGTGTTGAAGCACAATGCCACAGAAAATTATTTGAAGAGATTAGAAAATCTTCTCAAAATGAAGCTCAGTGAAAAAAATCTTATTAGTGCCATAAATACATATGTGATTACATTCACATTTGGTTTACAGTTTACATTTTCATAAAACAAAAATTCGTATTCTTCATATCGTCGGTGAAATGTGATAAACTGCTAACTCCATTATTCCTAATTTTACAGGAGAGCAAAAAACGGTACAAAAAAATACGTACACATGTAGGAAGTATTTTCATGCGTTAATATGATAAAGAGGTAAGAATTTTATTTGCTGGGGAACAATAAAACTCAATATTTCGTGTTACATCATTTTTTTCAGACACAATAGGGAGATAGCAGATATTCCTCTTGCAGAAATAAGAAATAAAAATATACTTCTGGGGATAGCAACCTTTATTGGTTGAAATTTTGAAAATGGAATTGAATATTACCCAAACTGATTTAGAAATAATCAATTAAATTTAAAAAATATGATATTCACATATATTTATAAAATCGTCGGCCTAACCAAATCGAATACATTTTTAATACATTTATAAAGAACTGAAGTAGCAGCATTTTGGACTTAATGAATATGAAAATAATTTAAAAATTAAACTTATAATTCTTAAAAGATATGGTAGAATCCTTCCATTCTTATCCTAATTTTTATACAACGGTAGTAGACCGAGCTTGGAAAACAATGCGTGATTTTATTAAATTTTTATTACTTTTCTCCTTATTTTTTTAATTTTTATAAAAATTATGTATCATTTACGTGGAAAAACGTTGAAAAAAATAAGACTGAATAGGTATTATGGAAATTCTTGTACAAGTAAGTAATGACTAGTATTTAAACTATTTATAACACGCCGATGAATTGCTCGTATATAGAGAATTTCGTTTTTCTCCTTACTCTTTACGGATACCCCGTATTTACAGAACGGACAGACGCAGGGTCGGACTGACTATATTATATATAGTACATATAACTAACTATTAGGGGGGGCCCCAGCCTTCGCGGGCTCCCTTTATAGTTCATTATTTATTCTTAACAATATTTGCATTTGCATTGCATTGATTTACCTTGGATTTGGGTAGTTCCCTGTTTTCTATACAGGGTGAGTCTTAAATAAGTGCAAATATTTTCAGAGCTAGTAAATCTCGATAAAAGGAACATAATATTTTCTCTTTGCCGTTTTTTTCAAATAAATCCATAACAACTGAGTTATTTCACTTTTAAAATTTCCAATTTTTTGCTATAATTTTGAGAACCATTGGATTTTCTTTCTTGTAAATTGAATCTACTACCTATGTTGCCATATTACAAACAAAGTATGTTTTTAAACTAAAAATTAAAAAATTTCCAATTTTTTTTTTAATTCCAAATTTTCAAAAAAAAATTCGCGCAAAAAAAATAATTTTCGTGTGTCTTAGGTCGAAATATACTACCCTAAAAATATTTGCACTTATTTAAGACTCACCCAGTATATAATAGGAAAAAATTGACCAAAACGTAAAGCGAAAAAAATACGCAAAAAAATCCACACGGGCCCCTCCTTCCATTGCCACCCAGGCCCCTTTAGCCTAGTGCGACTCTGGATCGACGTACTGTATACTCTGTTTTTTTTTTCTCAGGTAAGATTTCGACAGACGATGGCAGAAGAAAAGCAGATGACGTCCCATACCAATCTATTTATTTTACTAAAAAAAGTTTCTAATAATTTTTAAGTTAACTATGGATGGGTTTAAATATAAATCCGTCGCATGCGTCGTGTCTTATTGTTTTTAACCAGTTTTATTGGTTTATTTAAAAAATGACAGATCGTATTTCAATTTTATTGGTTTGACGGAACGATGAACGACAAACGGACGCCGACACGTATGAATTCGCCTTTAGATTTTTGTAATTTTTGACGCTTGTCAAAGTCAAAAATTACACAATATATTATATATATATATATATATTATACAAATTTTGTGTCAACTTTTGTCAAATACCCTGCGTTTTGGAAGATGATGCATTTTGATTCGTATTATTACGTGTGTTTTGTGTCTTTTGAAGTCAAGTGGAGGAAAAATCGAGTGAAAATTAACTGTAGACCCAGAGCACAGTTTATGGTTAATACTCGCTGCCCAGGCAGAAAGTCTTATAAACCAATGAAGTTACCATCGATAAAGTTTGTATACCATCTCGTCGTAGATAAGTGCATCTCATTTATGGTAGAAGGTTTATACTAAACACATACTAAAAACTGGAGTAGCTGTAAAATATCGACATCACACGATTTTAGTACTGCAGAAAAATAATGTCAAAGTACTGGTTTAAAAAAATTAAGATTAAAGTTAATTAATCAACCTTTAAGGTATAAAATTTGGTAAGTGTTATTATTAATAAAATAGTTTGTTTTATTTACGTTGTTTTATTTATTCCTGTCGAATATTACACATATGTATATGTACATAAGTTATATTGATAAATATAATCATAAATGCGGGAAGTTTCATGAAGCTTGAAAGTAAGAAATAGTTCTTTTGTGTCTTGTTCTTGTTTGTTTTGTATTAACACATACCGTTTTTTGTTAAATAAAATATCTCGATTACCTTTTTTCAGTTTTAGACAGTTTTTTTCACAATATTTTGAAGTAATCACTTGTCAGTCAAATTTTAAATATATTAACTTCCTGCTATGCGTTCTAATTCTACCAACTTATTTCTTTTTAAAATAAAATAAACTACTTTGAAATTAAAATGACAGACACATCTATCACTGTCAGGGATCTTGTCGTTGGACAGACTATACTAAAGAAACATACAGGAGATAGCAGAATTTCGGTGGCTATTTCAGATCACTGGGAGTTAGCAGATATTATTGAGTTAAAATAGCAAATTTTCTCTAATGGGAAAAAATGAATTTTCTTTCCCTACTTATACAGTATTTTTTTCTCTTTCTAATGGTATAAAAAACTTATTAACGTAAAAAATGGAGTTAGCAGGATATCACGTTTCACTGACGATATGTACTTGTTGGTATAGTCAGTTGGCTTAAACCACGAAGATGGTTTGATGGAGATCATTAAAGAATAAAAGGTCTTTTAAACGAGCTTTAGTTTCTTTAAATCGGCCAACCTAAACCAGAGTTATCCTTATTGTAATAAAAGCAATTTTAACCTTCCCCACCACTTTATTTTATGAGATAGACCAAGATATGCTATAACAAAAAAATTACAAATTTCTCGATGATTACAATAGCAGTATTTAAAATACCTGTTCATCTGCATATGTTTGAGAGAAATCCTGTTTTCTATTAACAATACAATGAAAAAAGTTTTATAAAAATTGCTTCAAAGAAACTGAATTTCGATGTTTGTATACCTCAAGGGTTTAAGGCACACCATATACAGGGTGTTTCAAAACAAATGCGAAAAACTTCAGGGGGTGATTCCTTGTTCAAAATAAAAGGTAGTTTGCTTTATAAACGTTGGGTCAAAAGTCCACCATTAGGGAGATATCGCGGTACAAAGATGGCGGAAAAATAATGTTTTTATTTTTTATCTTGAAAACGAAAAGAGATAGACTAATGAAATTTTACGGAAGCATTACTGTTATGAAAACACATTTTCTGGTAATTTTTTCACTTTTTTAAAATGAGTGGAAGGGGTTGAAATAAACTACCCCTATCATTCCTGTTAACGAAATTTAAAGAAAAATCTTATCAAACACATGCAAAAAAAATTAATTTTGATAGTTTAGTTTATTTAGAAACTTTTTTTATCTCTTGTGTTTTTGATAAAACTCACCGATTTGAAATTAAAAATAAAATGTAAAGCATTACATGTCAGGACAAAAAACATTTTTAGATAAAGAATCTAGTGGGCAGCTGTAATTTTTTTTAGGAAAAAAATCTAGTCGGCCGCTGTCACTTTTAGGATGTTTCTAATATTGTTTTATTTGACATTACCCTACTGCAATACGTCATTATCTAGATTATTATTATTATCATTATTATCACTAGATTCTTAATCTAAAAATATTTTTAGTCCTGACATGTAATGCTTTACATTTTATTTTTAATTTCAAATCGGTGAGTTTTATAAAAAAAAATACAAGAGATAAAAAAAGTTTCTAAACAAACTAAACTATCCAAATTAATTTTTTTGCATGTGTTTGATAAGATTTTTCTTTAAATTTCGTTAACAAGAATGATAGGGGTAGTTTATTTCAACCCCTTCCACTCATTTTAAAAAAGTGAAAAAATTACCAGAATGTGTTTTTTCATAACAGTAATGCTTCCATAAAATTTCATTAGTCTATCTCTTTTCGTTTTCAAGATAAAAAATAAGAACATTATTTTTCCGCCATCTTTGTACCGCGATATCTCCCTAATGGTTGAGTTTTGACCCAACGTTTATGAAGCAAACTACCCTATTTTGAACAAAGAATCACCCCCTGAAGTTTTTCGCATTTGTTTTGAAACACCCTGTATAATAATATAAACATTTGCCAATTACCGCCCATCAATAGAAAAGGCAAAACTTCAATAATTATAATTTATTTTTAAATTTTAAATATGCGATCAGGATTTATTATAGAAAACTATTCTTAAATCAATTGTAAACTAATTTTTGAAAAAGTTGTGTAAATATTTGTTTGAACTACTGTTTCTATGAAATAATAATAGCCTTTATGACGTAAATATTGACAAAAATATTTATATTATTTGTAGTACCCTATATTTTTAGATATTTGGTGAGAGAGAAAAAGAAATTAGGGAAAATTCGCCGACATCGAATATACTATTAGATTCGTTAATACAGGCTGATAGAAAAGTATATACTAAATATGCTGCTTATACCGATTTCGTTACCTTTGCTTTTGCCGTAAGTAAAATTTTTAATTTTTCCATATACATACTACATCCCTGTTTAATATGAGAGATTAATTATTTTATAATTTTTTAATACATTTGTAAATTTTTTGATATATTTATACCTAGTCAAAATCGTTTTTAAACCTTAAACCTAGGATATCATGGTTGGCCAATATTCTCCTCACTATGATTTTGCATTGCTACTTTTGCTCAGTACTTAAAATCAGAGAGGGGTATATTTTATCTAAGTATTTTTTAAGCTGCTCTAAAATCGAGTATTTACTGCAGTTTCTCACTTTCTAACATACTTAAAAGCAATTCTGAAATGATAAAATTTCTATTAAACTAGGACTGAAAGGTTTAGAATTTGAATAGCGCCCCAGGCATTTTAGTTTTTATTTTAATTTCAATAATTATATTGTATAAATAATTAATATAACCTCTAATATTCATTATTCATATATTTCTTGTGTATTCCTTAGGCGGTTGATACTAGTGGCAATACTTTAGCATTCCTACTGACTCTCTTGGGCATGCATCCCGACATTCAGGTAACTAAAACATATTATAAAATTCACTAATGTAGCATTTGCACTCTTTGGAAATGTTTAGAATAAATTACAAAGATTAACACGGGTTTTACATGATTCAGCTTACTAGTTTTACAATGAAAATATCTCCTTCTTAACAAAATACTACTGGTTCTTATTCTGCCTTCTTCTTGTTCTATATTTTTCTTCCTCTATTGTTTCTTCAACGAGCACTATAGACTTCTTTATATTGGTCGATAAATAAGTTTACGGTATACCTGTTTTCCTTAAATATATGTAAATTGTAAAGTAGGTACATGATTTATTTTCTGTTTATGATTAACGTGTTTCAGTTCAATCAATGTTCAAGGTCAAAAATAACACATATTTTTTACTAATCATTACAATTACGAAGGATGTTTTCTTATTAACAAAGATACAGTTTAATTATATTAAAGTTCCGTGGTCAAAGAAAAACATTTTTAGTAACTAAGGAAATAAAAATCCTTGGTAGATAACGTTCCTAATATTATATTTATCAATTATAATTTATGTTTAAACCTTTTTTATAACGGAAAATTATTTCAGTCAATAACAAATCGGTCACAATAATATACCAGTACTAGCGTGTACCAGCGACTTCGTTCGCCTCGAATTAATCATTTGTAATGGTAATGATAAAGCAAAGCAAGAATTTCCATTAACATACAAACTGGATAAAATTTTCTCACATTTATATCAACATGAGAAAAAACAATATGGCGGTATTATTATATAACTTGGTAATATTTGAGGGGTAGCTTCATCTCGTTGGAATTTGACTTTCAAAAAATCCGTTTGCCAAAAATAAGTTTTTTACGTCAAGCAGTTTAAGCAGAATCGTGGTTAAGAAATTATCCAACTTTTTGGAACACCCCGTATGATTTTTTAAAAAAATTCTAAATATGTAAAAAAACCAAATAAATTATGCTTGTCCAAGCGTTTTCCCGAAAGACTAACCGTTTTTTAAATAACAAATATTGTAATATTTGAGGGGCGTTTTCACCCTCTTGTTCACCCTCAGTTTGAGCAGAATCGTGATTGCTCAATGGTAATATTTTATGAAACACCCTTTATAAATTTATAAAAAATCTTAAAATATGTAAAACAACAAAATAAAATATACGTGTTTAAGAGTTTTTCCGAAAAACGCACCGGTTTTTAAATAAAAAATATTTTAATATTTGAGAGATAGTTTCACCCCCTTAGAATTCGAGTTTCGAAAAATCCCTTCTTATCGAACCTCTACACCAAAAGTCAATCTGTTTTCCAAAAATCAGCTTTTTACGTCAAGCGCTTTAAGCAGGATCGTGATTAATCAATGACCAGATTTTTCGAAACACCCTGTATACATTTTTAAAAAATCTTAAAATATGTAAAAAACAAAATAAAATATACGTGTTTAAGCGTTTTTTCGGAAACTTGACCGTTTTTTAAATAAAAATATTGTAATATTTGAGGGATGGTTTCACCCTCTTGGAACTGGAATTTCGGAAATTCCCTTCTTATCGAACCTCTACACCTTAGAATTAACCTGCATGCCAAAATTGAGCTTCTTACGTTGAGTGGTTTGAGCAGGATCGTGATTAATCAGTATGTCAGTCACTCAAGAATTTTATATATTACTATAGATATTATTAATTACTAATATCTTAGAACAGCTAGAGGTTACGACAGTACGAGTATAATCAATTTTCTCAACATATTTTTAAAGGATGATTTTAGATTAAATTGAAAACTACAAATATATTTTGTATGGTTTTATTTCTTTTGCGAGATACTAGCCAGTTCGTTGTACTGGACAAATCACGACAAAAAAAATATAAAAAATGTAGATAATCAATGTTTCGTAAAATATAACATAGAAAACAAATTTGTTACTTTGTTTTAAACCAGGAATTTTTGTATCTCTTCTCTTATATGATTTAGGATAAAGTTTACAAGGAGATTTTGGAGGAAATAGGCTTGGATCGTGCAATAGAAGTACAAGATTTACCTAAATTAAAATATGTAGAAAGGGTCATTTTTGAAACACTCCGATTATTCCCCATCGCTCCAGTAATAGGAAGATATACTACGAAGGATGTAATATGTGGTAAGATAATTAATTTCAAATGCTAAGAAAAAAGAAATTAATTTATGTGAAATTTGTATACAAGTGGAACTGGTCTGTATACAAGGTGGTCCGGACTGTATTCCGGAAATTTCGGCATCATATTTTGCAGATAAAAATAAGTAAAAAAGTTCCTATAAATGTATGTCCTAAAATGCTTAGTTTCTGAGATACAGGATGTAGAAGTTTTGTTTTTATTTCGATTTTTTCGAAATAATTTCTGAAGTAACGTCAATATTTGGATGAAAATTGGTGGCTGGGAGTTTTTGGACATGAAAAATTTGATTTTGATGTCAATATGGCTCCTATTTGTAGGGGGCGCCACCTATATGTGTTTTAACTGTTTTGAAAAGTAATAACTTGTCCGTACCTGTATTAAACTACTGAATGAAAAAATATACATTTCCGTGATTCTCAAGATATTTAGAAAGGAAATAGTCAATACATGTCATTATTGACAAAAAATAAACATGTTGATAGATAGTTATTCGACTGAAGTGATAAATTTGGGAACTTTTTATTTTTTCAAATCGAGTCAAATTAATTTAGTCGACATGTTTAATTTATGTCAATGATGACAGGCATTAATAATTTCGATTCCAAATATCTGGAGAACAATTACTCGTAGCGATTTGTACCAAGAGACCATTTTTACATGAAAAAAACGTCGTGAATGTACATTTTTTTACCCAGCAGTTTTCTACAGGTACGGACGAAAAGTTATTCCTCTTCAAACCAGTTAAAAAATATCTAGGTGGCGCCCTCTACAAGTAGCAGTCATATGGGCATCAAAATCAAATTTCACACACCAATTTTTATTAAAATATTAACGTTACCTCAGAAATTATTTGGAAAAAATCAAAATAAAAATGAAACTTACACACCCTGGATCTCTGAAACTAAGCATTTTAGAACATAAATTTATACGAACTTTTTTGCTTATTTTTCTCTGCAGAATATGCTGCCGAAGTTTCCGGAATACAGTTTCGACCACCCTGTATAATAATGCTATCAAGATAAACAGAACTGAGTTTTACGTGTTGACTAATATATATTTTTTAATTGAAAGATGGCATCTGAATATTTTGCACTACTTAAAAACTAACACTACTAATAAGTTAAAAAACGTTGATAAAATCATATTTGCCCAACTTCGTGACAAAGCCAGATAAAACCGGATAAAGCCAAAACTAGGCTGCAAATGGGGATGCAAGGTTCGAAGTATTCAGCATTACTTTTGGTAATAGTCTTATAAACCAAACTATAGCTAAATAAAATTAAACTAAACTTTATTAGTTATTCTTTGTAAATAATGGCTAGTGTCAGTTGTCAGAAAGTATAATTAACCAGGCTGCCCAAATGGTGATGCAAGATTCAAAATATTCAACATTACTTATGATAATAATTAACTCAACTTAATTAATTTCGATGTGTTTGGTTTGATTTAATGATACCATTCTGCCGAAATTGTGATACTGTTGTAATGGGTTTTTAAATTCCTATTAGCTACAAGTAAATTTAAATATACAGGATCAGGCATAAAGTTGTGTCATATCAAACTTTATTTTAAATGAAACACTCTGTATATTATTGCATATTTCAATTCTTTCTTCAATTGTAAACAATAATCGTTATACATAATGTACATAAATTGAAGAATTGAAATTATAACGAAAATTTTGTAATTTCCAGACTTGCTATACTCTCATTTTATACATCTATAAATGCTAACTTGAGTGCTAATGTCAAATATTATTAAGAATCACAGTTTCGGCAAAATGGCATCGTTAAATGAAACTGAACACATCGAAATTAATTAAATCAAATTGTTTAAGTGATATTGTCAAAAGTCAACAACTCGGAAACGGTTGGTATGAGGTACATTATGTGTATTTCGATTTTTGTTTAGAATTGAAGGAAGAACCGAAATTTGCAATAATATAGAGCGGGTTTTAAAAATATAGAGGGCCATTTAAAAAAATGAAACTTTGATGTGCCACTACTTTATGACTGAACCTGTCTACTTAAATTTACTACTCGCTAATAGATATTTATAAACCCTATAACTTTTATATTTAACTTTTTGCGGTACCTCCTATATCTTACCTAATAATCGACCGTTTCCATACATAAAAGCGACCCTGTATATAATCACGTATAATATTATTGTAATTGTGTCTATTACTGTTGTTTGTATTTTAGGAACACAAACAATCCCAAAAGGAGTTAATATAATGATAAGCATATTAGACGTTCATCGTAATGAACGATACTGGACCGATCCACTAAAATTTGACCCTGATCGATTTCTACCAGAAGAAATTGCAAAAAGACCATCTAGCTACTATATACCATTTTCTACAGGACCCCGGAATTGTATCGGTAAGATAATGAGAATTCTATACCGAGTGGTCCATCGGCACTGGGAACATAGGAAATCCCATGCAAATTTTGAACTGTACAAATATGAGCTCCCCTGTTGATATACAGCAAAGTCGTAAATAATTTTTAAACGATCTGCTTTTGCTCAATACTCAAAAAATACTCAGCTTATCCAAATCTGTACTCAATACTAGATTTGGATAAGCCGTTTTTAACTAATTTAAAAAACTGCATCTATTCTTAAATTAAAACTGGCAAAAAATCAGGCAAATATCAACTACCTTAAGTTAAGTCAACCTATTGTTTTATCATTGTTAAATATAATTTTAAAATATTAATTATTTTAAAATTTTTAGTATAAAAATTTAATACTAATGATACTTTATTGTAATATAAAGTATTATTAGCAGATAGTGTGTGTGTGTGTTAGTGTAATATTAACATTTAACACAAATAATACCGTATGATCGAATAAAAACGGCGTCAACGATGGCTATGAAATGAAGATCGCTGTCATTTTATATGTAAAATTATATGGGAAATGTCATCGATCGTCATTTCCAAGCCAACTGGACTCCGTTTTTTTTTCGATCATACGGTACTTTATTACATATTATGAACTAGTAATGGGAATACCGGTTCCACATGAGTCGCGTTACAATAGCGACCGTTCCAGAAAAATACCGCGACAAAATACCGCCATTTTGTAATCGAGGTTCCAACTTCCTAAGTGTCGCGGTCGTCGCTTATGTAACATTTCTGGCATTGGTACCTACTTTTATTTTATACTATCTACCTAGTCCCACAAACCACTGTCAAAAAAAATTCTTTATTGGTGACCGGTTTGGGCAGTTCCAGCCATCATCAGACCTTAAAAATAGATATAAACAATAAAACTTATACAAATGTATAAAAGCAAATAAAATTTTCATTTTATTTTATTTGCTTTTACGTTTCATCTTTGAAACAACGCTATTTTATACCATGCAATACAAAAAATCGTTATTTCAAAAGTAACGTAGCGACGGCGACGGGAGCACCAACGCCAATAGTAACCGACCCAATCGCTACAGGCAAAAACGAAACCCTAGAAGCGCTCCAGCGACTGCTGGAACGAAGTAAGCCGCCTCCGAGGTCGAGCGTCGAGAGCCAGTTACAGCAGTACGCGACAGGGAACTAAAACTCTAGGAGCGCGACGGCTGGAGCGAAGTAGGCCGTAGTTACTCCGTATGAACAAGGAAGAAGAAATACATACGACCATTAAAGAAAAAAATTAGAATATTTTACACATGTTATAAGAGGTCCTAAATACCAATTACTCCAGAATATTATGGAAGGAAAAATCCAAGGAGGATGAAGTCGAGGCAGAAGACGAACATCCTGGCTGAGGAACCTCAGAGAATGGCGTGGAATAGTGATGGGAATACCGGTTCCACATGAGTCGCGTTACAATAGTCATTACCGTTCCAGAAAAATACCGCGACAAAATACCGCGATTTTGTAACGGAGGTTCCGACTTCCAAAGTCCAACACTGTCCAACACTGTCAAAAAAAATGTTTATTGACCTAACCTAACCTTAAAAATAGATATAAACAATAAAACTTATATAAATGTATAACAGCAAATATAAAATATTTTTATTTTATTTTATTTGCTTTTGCGTTTCATCTTTCAAACAACGCTATTTTATACAGACCTAGTATATACCAAAAATCGCTATTTCGAAAGTAACGTAGCAACGGGAGCACCAACGCCAATAGTAACCGACCAAATCGCGACAGGCAAAACCGAAACCCTGGAACGAAATACGTCGCCTCCGAGGTCGAGCGTCGATAGCCAGTTACAGCAGGAACCAGTTACTTCTGTTCGCGACAGACGGAACTACGGCTCTAGCGCGACGGCTGGAGCGAACACGCGCGACGCTAGGTACATACCTGTGCCAGATAATTCTGTTGGCGATCGACGAAATCGCGACGGCTGGAGCTAAACACGTCGCTATGCGGTTACTACGGTTCAAGCTAACTTCAAGAGCGATTATAAATAATTTATTTCTAAATTATAAATAATTTATAATTTTGTCGTCATTATGATCGTCGTTCTTCAGTAACAGGTTCCTGATTCGTTGTGTAGCGCGACACGACGCGACGTTACAAAAAAATACCGCTCCAAAATTGCGTTACTCAAATACCGACACATCACTAGTGTGGAATGACGTCGAATGGATTAATTAGAGCAGCCGCAAATAAAATCAAAATAGCCGTGATGAATGCCAACCTCTGTTAGGGGACGGTACTTGAAGAAGAAGTAGGTCTCACTGGTCCCTAGAAAATATATAAACTCTGCAGGGCAACAAGTTGTCAAAACCTATGATATGCTTAGTAAAATATAGAACACACGGAAAGAACCTGATAACCACCAGCCGTTCGATGCTATCCTGTAAAATCACTGAAATGGCACTTATCATGTTTTTCCCTGGACCCTTCAATTCCAACCAGGTCGACTATACAAAAACTTATTGCTGTTTGAAGCGAAATAATCCACAATAAAAAAACTGATAAGCGAAGTGGATAATCACGACAGGACTTATACAGGGTGTCCCAGAAATAAGTGCAAATATTTTAACTGGTAGTATAGTTCAACCCCAGAAACCCGCCTATGAGTTTTTTTTGCGAAAAAAAAATGTTGAAAATTTAAAATTTTTCTTGACATTTTCCGGGAAATTTGAAAAAACTTTTTAGTGCCACTTGTTTATTCACCTGAGATTTCCCTACGGTGTATCTAAACCTCACAGTTTTGCAACCTCCTATGTTATCCACATTCTACATAATTCGGCGGAACATAGTTCTACATTTATAAATTCATAGACAAATTTCTACTCAAAAATTAGGAATGTTAAATTTAATCTTTGAAAGTAGTTCGGAAAGTGGCGGTAAGAGACAATAATTCTCAACATTTATTCATTCAGAAAGGTATTCAAAGTAATGTGTGCTTTTCAAGGTGTTTTGTAAATGAGTGATTCAAATTGTGATGAGGCCTATATGAAAATAATGTGTAAAAAATGGGGACTGTTATTTTAGTAGTTATTATAATAGCATGTACAAGTAAAGCAGCACAGTGAAGTGTATTTTAGTTAAGTGTATATCGAAAAAGAGAACTGTCACAGTTACATCGATCTGTCATAAGTATCTTTTTTAATGTTGGGTAAGTTTTTTAATTTAACTTTTTTAATACATTTTTTAACACATTATTAAACATTTAACTTTTAATTTTTTTTATGTAATAATATCACAATCTTAAAAATGTAATGCATCTCTGCAAACTCCTCAGGTGTTGTGATTTTATGACTTACTTTTAACATATACTTTCTTGTCTTTATGGCAACACAGTGCGTCGAATTAACTGAAATCCGGGCTTGATCCGGGTAATTGGATGTAGTTGGCGATATCTGCCGGCGGTTCTCAAAATGTTGCGATTATATTTTTAAATTTTCAAAGTTAAGTAACTCGGTTATTTTCAATTTATTTTAAAAATGGTAAAGAGAAAATATGTTTATTTTGACCAGATCTACCACCCCTTAAAATATCTGCACTCATTTCTGGGACACCCTGTATAATAATTAATGATAGAGATCTGAATAATTTACTTCATGTGGGTGAAAACAAAAACATTAATATAAGTATATCGGAGAAACTATAAAAAAACATCATAACATAGTACTAAGTACTTTAACGAAACATAACTATCATTCGTTTAAGGAACAAAATCATTAAGAAATGCCAGAAGACGACATAGTATGCGGTATTTTTTAATCCCGTATAAGATCACTTTTTATATTTTTATTATAAGTAAAATACTTGATTTTCTACTAAATCGTACATTTAAATGTTTATGTTTTTGATGGATATTTTTTTCTTCACATTACTTCGCTACTTTTTTATGAAACTAAATATGCATATATTTGTCCTAGTTTCTGAAATACAGGGCGAATTTGAGATATTGATGCATTTATTGACACCCCTCGTATAAAATATTAATTTTAGGTATTTTATATTTTAAGGTTATTAATTTTCAGTCTCATAGAGATTTTCACGTAGAATTCAGTGAAGTAACAAGTTTTTCGAGGACGAGGAGCTGTCATTATTGAAATACGACCGAAACTTTGTTTTTTAAATGGGGTAGCCTGTATATTATTTTTTATTCTATTTTCCATGTAATGAAATTTTTAAAAATATACCATACTCTACTTGTTTTCATAAATAAGGTATTTTGTGGGACACCCTGTACACATGAGATGTGCAGTAACAAAACAAATGAAAATACAAAATTCTATTTATACAGGGTCGCTTTTATGTATGGAAACGGTCGTATATTATGGAAAATGTTACCGCAAAAAGTTAAATATAAAAGTTATAGGGTTTATAAATATCTATTAGCGGGTAGTAAATTTAAGTATACAGGGTCGGTCATAAAGTCGTGGCACTTCAAAATTTCACTTTTTTTAAATGGAAACCCCTGTATATTATTGCAAATTTCGGTTCTTCCTTCAATTCTAAGCAAAAATCAAAATACACATGATGTACCTCATACCAACCGTTTCCGAGTTATTGACTTTTGAAAATATCACTTAAACATATTTGATTTAATTAATTTCGATATTTTCAGTTTCATTTAACGATGCCATTTTGCCGAAACTGTGATACTTAATAATATTTGACATTAGTTCTCAAGTTAGCATTTATAGATGTATAAAATGAGAGTATAGCAAGTCTGGAAATTACAAAATTTTCGTTATAATTTCAATTCTTCAATTTATGTACATTGTGTATTACGATTATTATTTACAACTGAAGAAAGAATTGAAATATGCAATAATATACAGGGGGTTTCATTAAAAAAAAAAAGTTTGATGTGACACAACTTTATGACCGACCCTGTATACTTAAATTTACTAGTTGCTAATAAGAATTTAAAAACCCATTACAACAGTATCACAGTTTCGGTAGAATGGCATCATTAAATCAAACCAGACACATCGAAATTAACTAAATCGAAGTTATTTTCAAAAGTCAATAACTCGGAAACTAAACGGTTGCTTTGATGTACATTGTGTGTATTTCGATTTTTGCTTAGAATTGAAGGAAGAATTGAAATATGTAATAGTATTCTATAGGTGTTCTATTTAAAAAAAAATGAAACTTTGATGTGCCACGACTTTATGAACGACTCTGTATACTGAAATTTATTACTTGCTAATAGATATTATATCCTACAACTTTATGCGGTACCTCCTATATTTTATCTAATAATCGACCGTTTCCATACATAAAAGCGACCCTGTATACACAGTATGGTTCATAAGCCCACAAACGCCATCCTTTCTGGTGGTAAAAAAACAAATATTTAATACTTTACTATCAGAATATAAATGAAAATACAATAAAAAAATTATACACCGAGCCGGTCTCGAACTTGGACTCCTCGCTTCATAGGCAGAACCTCTGCGCGCCATACTATTGTAAGACTTGCTGGATTTATATTCAATACTAGAACTTAACGGAATAAATCAAAGATATAAGATCTTCTTCCGATGCGCAGAAGTGAACGCAATGTCTATCTAGTGAGCGCGCTGTTCCAAAGCAAAATATATATTAAAGAGCCAGCTTTCTTAAAATTCTCTCTCGAAAATGCTGCTAGCTCTTAGGCCAGTATTACACTATAAAATTTCTTTGTCAAAGATCTTTTATAAAAGATATTTATGAAAAATTTGGTATTGTTAATATACAATATTTTTACAAAAAAAAATCTTTGACAAAGAAATTTGATAGTGTAATTTTGGTCTTAAGCGGCCCATACATTATCAAACAAATTGCGCAACACAGGCTGTTGCGCAACGAGTTCCCAATGTATGGTAACGTTTGATGCGTTGAGCAGTTGTTTGATAAGTTTCAAGAATGTTTGAATTCTTTTGTGCAGCAGGCGTTTGCGCAGCGCGTTGTGTAGTGTATGTGTGTGTTGCGCTTCGTTGTGCAATATTTTAGTTCTTTCATCCAAATTCTTTGTTTTCTTTTTCGTTTTTTTGGTATCATTGACATCATCTAGGGTATATACGATAATAATTGACGAAATGGCAATTGAGGACATGATTGTTTCTCAAAGAATGCACAACTTTGAATAAAAAGTTTGATCAAAATAAAATTTTACTAAGTGCATGGGTGATGCAGTTGTGCAACGGAACGTTGCGCATCGCTTTGTTGCGCAACTTGTTTGATAATGTATGGACCGCTGAATCAGTTCTGCAACGCAACGTTGCGCATCGCTTTGTTGCGCAATTCGTTTGATAATGTATAGGCCGCTTTAGACTATAAACCAAAACGGAACTAAGGAATAAAAAGTTAACGTATTTCATTTTTAAATGCAATTTATTGTGCTGTCTACGGACGCTACTACGTTATGGTACGGTTAGTGTGCTCTAAGTGCGTTAGTGGGTAATTGAAATCTTGTACGAAATAAGCAAAATCCTATAACGGTTAGGAAACAGAATTTGTCATTGACAAAATCATAGGATGGCAACTTGACGTATGTTGTCTTTTGCATTGTTACTTGTTCAGTTTTAATTGAAATAATTGATTCAGTTTTTCTAAAATTATAAAGTATAGTATAAACACACAGCTATTGTTTAAATCTATGAAGGTTTGTCATAGAGCTTCTTTAGAGCAATAGATAAAAGAAAATAACCATCTATTAATTAGAGCTTACGCAAAACATATCATGTCATAGAGCTTGTAATTGTTTAGAATTAACTTAATTTTAATTTATTCTCTATGTTTTTAGGAAAAACTTACGCATTGCTGAGTTTGAAAGTTGTTGTCGCTACTGTGGTTCGTCATTACAGAATGTCTTCGAACTACAAATCGGTCGAAGAAATGGATTTACGATCACTTTTTACGATGAGGACTACACATAACTTAGACTGTCAATTAACACCAAGATGAAAATAATGAATCTTATTACCTACATGCAGTAGAAGTTTTTGTAATGATATATCAAGGATGTTACTGATTGCAAGCAAAGAGGATTTTTTATTTTAGTTTTTGACTTTTAATATTTTCCTTTCCTATATCTATAATAGACAAAGACTCGTTTTCAATGAATCTATTTGAAAGTCTCTTAATTTTTTAAAAACTAACTCTACAGTGTACAGAGATACATTTTTCCATACTTTCAATTCCCAAAATATTTCAGTTCCTTTTTAAGTTCTCAAATGATCTGAAGTTGAAGTTAGTTGTAGTTAGAAAACTTCAGAAACAAGAGGGCGACTTGTAATTTTTTAAAAACTGTCTACTAGTTTCAGCGAAATAGTATTATGCATTGTAGTACGGGGAGAGAGCTAGCAACGTCGGAAAAACAAGTATTTTAAGACGTCTGGCTCTTTGATATATCTTTTACTGTGCTCTCTAGAACAGCATGCGGCCCGTCTGGCTGACGGTAAACGTTGCGTTCCCTACTGCGCATTGAAAGAAGATCCTATATTTTTATTAGTCATTTAAATTCTAGTATTGAATATAAATCGAACATGTCTCCATAGCGCAGTGCGTAGAATTTCCGACCACGAACCGATGATTCAGAGTTCGAATCCGGGTCAGGGCAAAGACTTTTTTATTTTATTTTCGTTTATATTCTGATAGAAAAGTATTAAATATTTGTTTTTATTTAACTACCAGAATTATTTAATACTTTACTATCAGAATATAAACGAAAACAAAATAAAAAAAGTTTTTGCTCTCACCCGGATTCAAACTCTGAATCATCGGCCGCGGTCGGAAACTATACGCACTGCGCTATGGAGACATGCTCGATTTATATTCAATACTATAATTTATAGGACTAAATTAATAAAAATAAAGGATCTTCTTCCGATGCGCAGTAGTGAACGCAACGGATATCGGCAGGCAGACGGGCCGCATGCAGTTCCAGAGAGCATAGTAAAAGATATATCAGAGAGCCAGACGTCTTAAAATACTTTCTCGAAAACGTTGCTAACTCTTAGACTATTGAAAGTTAAACAATTGTAAGGAGAATCTACAAATTAAATAAAAAATACGTGTTGTCTTAAAAAAACTTGATCATTGCACTTTTTTGAAGCACCATGTGGGTTCCAAAATTAATATTGAATTTTACATCTTAATAATGCCTCAAACTATTCTAGGTATAATTTTCAAATCAAATAATATTGCTTTACTCACTCGTTGACTTACTCGTATTTATTTTATAAATTAGTAATTAGTACAAAAATAATTCCATAATTTTATAGACCTCGGCTTGATAAAAATACTATTAAATACGAGTATATTTTTAAAATGTTTGAAACTACGCCAATGAAATATAAACCAAGCTAAACTGTCACTAGGGGAGAAAACGATTTCAGATTATTATTGTATAATAAAACAAATAACTGACACCGAATACAGCTTAGGGTTGAACTTTTTCAAATAATATATAGTACAATTAAGTGATTAAATTTCAGCGTCAATAATTATTGATGTCCACAAAATTATGCAGGGAATAAAAATGGATGTAAAGTAAAGAATATAAACCAACAATAATTTTTATGGCGGAGGGACAGTGCTAGTATATTTTTATTGTAGTTATACCCAAAAATCTATAGCTTTTTCGCAAATAATTTCTGAACTAACGTCAGTATTTGGATGAAACTTGATTTCAATGTCAACATGACTCCTGCTTATAGAGGGCATCACCTAAATGTTTTTAATTGATTTGAAGAGTAATAACTTTTCTGTTTGAAACTAATGAGTGAAAAAATATAAATTTACTTAATTTTCTACGTAAAAAATGTTTCTTGGTAAAAATAAATATTTTGAATGGAATTAGTCAATACATATCATTGTTAACAAAAAATAAAATAAATTTGACAATAATCAAATTACACGAAATTATTGTAACTTATTTTAAATATGTATTAAATTAACGTCTAATGTCTTAGAACTTTCCTACTAACATTGAATACAATTCCAGAAGTAATGTTTACAAGTTAGAATGAATATATTTTTGGTAATGAGCTAACAAAAAGGTACCCAGTAACTATAGCGGTTCTAGCAATATAAAATAGCCGAAAAATTAGAGAAAAAATTAATCATATTTTACCGAGTATTTTACATTCTTTTTATTAAAATCTCTAAAACAAATTATACAATTAAAATGAACATAGTAATTCAAAAGAATTAAAAAATACGCAGACATTTTTTAAATCATTCTTCATTCAATGTATGTGATGATGTCAAATGTGACTTAGAAAAATGAGACTTAGACAAGCACGTGTAAACTTTCAAAACGAACAGTTTACATCAGAAAAAAAATCATTCTCACAATCGTCAACTGTATCGCAAAACATTGCCTACGCCTATGCAAAAATACATTTTCATAGCTCTGAAGAAACTTGTGTCAAAGAATATACGTATATAAACATGGATATTCCATTAAGAAAGTTTGATAGTTATGTTTTCGATGAATAAGATTGTTTTGGAAAGAGACGTGTCTCATATTTTATTAAATAATGGAAATATGTACACTTTATCAGAATCTATTACATAGAACTTCCTCAATATATTTATCATAATTTATCGGCATATCAAATACATTGTTTTACTTGTTCCCTTTCCTTATGAGATTGATTAATGGTGACAAAGAAGTAAGTATGCAAGAAATGCATAAACAATATTATTATGCATAACATTTTACAAAAATACCTTCTCAAACCTTTTTGTTATTCTTTTAAACCATATAAGAAGTGTGGTTAGATGACAACATACCGCGTGTTTCTCAAAAGTGGCTGACCCCTATAATTTTTGTATTTTTATATGACATAAACCAAGATTGATTGGCGTATTCAATTGTCTTCGGTCACTTCCTGTTTCGCTGGAAATGACTACAACTTTTGATTTTTAAATGGCACCCTCGGTATTTTTTACGTTATTCGATAGAAATGGTTCATTTGAAATTGTAACATTCAGTTCATAATGACAATATCACTCTAAATACCAAGCGTGTGGTATCCAATTATTCGCAAAAAAGTGCTTTTTTCCAAATATTATGCATTTGAAAAAATTGACACATGATTAAAATATGATTTCGGTATTTTTTAAGATGCGATTTTCTAGTTTCCTTCAACCTATCGGCAGTGTTCCCACAGCCACCCCATTCGGTGTAGATCTACCCATTTATAACACAATTTAACCCCGCTATCGCGTGATAATCTTCCCCGATGAACTGTCACTCAAAGGAAATAAAAGTTTTCTGTTTTACCGGCGATACTCCAACAATGAGAAATAAGCTTCCACCTAATATAGCCCATTTTTTAATCTGCACCTCGAAGGAAAAATACCTTAAGCAAGAAATCTTGTCCTTTGTGGTTATTAATTTAAAGAAATCTTAACCTCATAAAAAGAAAGCGGACTTTAAGGTTTTAAAATTATGGAAAACCTAACTTTATAGACGAATAGTTAAAAACACCATTAGCGGCCATTTTTTTATCCAATTTGTTTTCAAAAAATATTTTTTTGTGATATTGTTCTAAACTATTGAGAAAAATAAACAGACGTTCATGAATAATACTACCTACCACAAGTTAAATTAACTAATTAAGAACTTTAAAAGTGTGTGTGTGTGAGGTTCAAGTTAACGTCTCCTTTCTGCTGCAATGGCTAAACTGGACGGGACCTACTTTGTTTACGCGGAATCCGAACCGCGGTCCTCGGCCATATCATGGTCAATGGCCTACCGACTTAGGAAGTGTCTAAATTAACTCTTACTCACGAGATATCCGATCTCATCCGGCCTCGAACCGGCGTGAAAGAGCAGTGTGTATCAATAGATTTTACACTTTTCCCTTGGACAACAGCACGATGCAAAGTTTCGAACCGGTCACCCGTCCATCAACTAGCATCGCCTTACGTCGCTTAACTTCGGTGTTCTAATGGGAACCGGTGTTTCGACGTAGCTGGGCCGTTGCCCAACTTTAAAAGTGTACCAGGGAAGTTAGCTGAAAAAAAGTTAGGTTAGAACCTTGAAAGTAACGATTTATTCTAAAATTAATTGTTGAAAATAATATTTTAATGGCGCATAATTTTTTAGGGCCTATCATATTTACATCTCACAAAAAAATTGGCTCCGCAGATATAATTATCTTGCGAATCCAATAATCCACTTCTTACCAATATAACTTATTTACATTTATTACGAAGTGCATATATGTAGGTATTTCATGCATAATGGATTAATGTTCAAACGGCCATGCCATCAGTTATTACTACACTTGTTTGTCTTCCTGGTTCATTATTGGGAAATTCATTTACATACACATATTATAAAGAAAAATGCTTTAACTTATTCTTTCTCTTTCTTTCCCATGTTAAAATTTAGGTAGTATAAATTAGGACCATTTTTAGTAAAATTTACCTCTATTTTACCGTGTTATGACCTCAGGTCGGTTATTTTTGACTTCATAGCCAATATTTCATACAAGACATTATAACCTGTTAACCTGTTTTTAACTTCCAAATTACTTTAGTTTTATTCCCCACTTTGGGAATTTTAACGACAATTCTCAGTTTCTCAATAATAGTCCAAGTGGTTAATTTAACGTAATTTTACCTTCAAATGTTTGTTGGGCTGGGGCTGGTTGTGTGCTAGGAAGTAAATTCATGCATATGTTCATCGATAGTTTGTAGCTTCTGAATAACGGTCTAGGTAAAACATCTAGCTTATTTGCCAGCTCAAAATTAGAATTTGGAGTTAGCAACTCGTATTTTCATTGGAGGACTGACATATTTATTTCAAACCAATAATCAACGAAAATATTCATATAATTTAATAAAATTACTGTAAATCATTATAAATAATGAAAAATAAACAAAACTTTTAAACAAATACAGATCACAGACAAATTCATCACAAAACAAATTGTTGGTCAGTAGTAGTCAAAGATATAGATCTAGTAATATTTTGGTTTAATGGCCACAGCTGCCACGGCTATCCGGCAGGGTTATAGAATAATCGTTTTTTAAT